ACCATGAAGCCTGCGTCTTGCGCCATCCGTGCGCACTCGTCCCTAAGTTCATTGTGTGTGTTTGTGCGCCCCCCCCCTGTTCCGCATCGTAGCAGGTGGTTCGGGAGCCGCTTATCCGGGATCTCCACCTTTTTCGAGCAGTTGCAAACCCCAGGGGCCGCAAATGGGAGCCCCAGCCTAAACTGGAGCGCGTTGGCAAAGTGGGGAGCCTCAAGGCGGAGCGAGGAGTGGATAGGCACTGCGTTTAACCAATCCCCCGCCCCAAATCCCGACAGGGACAGCATCCGCTGCGTGTGACCGTTGTTGGGGTTCGGGCTCATCCCCCGCACCTCGTCCACCTGCACGGCATAGCGCTGGCCCTGGATAGCCATGGCCAACCCGGGCTGCAGTTTCCCCGCAGTTGGAGCCGATCTCTCAGCCTGAAGAACTTCTTGGGCTGGAAGTGGGAGTTCCCCTTCGCATTCCGCCAGCCACTCGGTCAGGGGGGAGGACTCGGTGTAGGGGCCGCGCATCAGCTCGCGCGTGACTTCCAAAGGGCCAGAGCACTCGCTGTCCAAGGAGTCGAGTAAGAGCTGCGCCTGCGTGTAGCTGGCGAGGAAGCTGTAGCTTCCTTCCACGGAAGGGTCCGTCAGCCCCAGGCCACCGAGCGATATGGGTAGTGAGGCTTGCGCCCACGTGCGAGAAGTTTCCTCATCCCCCCGCGGGTGGTTAATGCCACATGCTGTAAGGAGCGTTTCCAGCAGCCGCCTTCCCCATTCAGACCACTCCTCCTTGGGCAGGAAAGGCAGAGGTGTTGTGCGGGCTAAGTATGACACCCGCCGTGAGATGCAGCGGGACAGCAGTAGTCCCGCCAGCTGCGGCTCCATGCGCTCTATCAACCCCAGCGGCGCGCTCATCGCCTCCAAGCTGGAACGAACGAAGGCAGAGGTTGCCGAGGAGGAGCCGATGTAGCTCCCCAGCACTTTCAAGCCTTCGCTGCTCGGTGGTATTCCCTCGGGAAGGCGATAATCCGTGGGCGTCCTTTCTGACCAAGCCCCGCATTTGGCAGGATTGTGGCTGAGCCCTATTTCAGCCAAGCGGCTTGTGAAGTGATTAAACGCAGCCGCGCACGACGACGGTTCCCCCAAGAAGGTCACGTCATCTGCGTATGCCAAGCAGATGACCTCGGGGTGCGCCTCCGCAGCTGCCTTCAGAGCCGGTTGCATGGCGGCGGCAAAAAGGAGGGGGGCGAGAGGGTCCCCTTGGCGGACTCCTGTTTCGCTGAGCAGGGGCGGATGGTCGAAGGCCGCGTCTAGGTGCAGTATTGAAGGCTGGCCGTATGAGAAGTGTACCAGTGGCAGTAGTGGTTCCAACTGTGAGTCTTTCAAGGCCGTCGCCATGGCGTGGCGGTCAACACTATTGAACGCATTGGCCAGGTCAGCCTGTAAGACCAAGGCGTCCTTGTTGGCCGCAGTGAAAGTGCGAACGATATGAATGACTGCTTCGGCACCTCCTGGCACGGCCACTCCAAACTGTAAAGGTAGGAAAAACTCTCGGGCTGCTTCTGCTAGCTGGGTAAGCGCTGCTTTGGCTGCCAATCGGAGGACGCACTCTCCTATGGCGATCGGCCTGGTCCCCCCATCGGGCTTGTCTAGGGCTATCAAACGTGATGCTGTGAGAAGCTTCCCTACTTCCTGACACAACTTCCCTCTCAGGATTGTGTTGACCAACGCATGTAAGTGATACCCAATGGTGGCGTGTATCAGGGCAGCTTCGCGCAGGTGCTCGAACTTTGTGCCCGAGGGACCTGCGCCTACCCCATTCTCACACCGCGAGAGGAGCTTCAGAAAAACTTCCCGCGAAACTGCCAGGTATGAGTCCGGTTCAGGCTGGGGCCACGGTGTGCCAGGGCGCGGGGCACTTGGATGCTTGGCGCGGAGGGATTCCAGAACCGCCGGTGATGGCTTGCTGACTGGGGTGGCTTCCAGTGCCATGACTGCTCTGCGTAAGCTGCCTCGTCGCGCCAGACCCTCTGCCCTTGATATTACCCCCAGGTCGTCTGGCTGGTGTCTAGGTGGCTGAGGGGACTCCAACGAATCAACCGTTTCCTGGTACAGTGCCTCCCACTCCCCTCGCAGGAATTTACGCAATCTTTCCCTGGTCGCCTTCCAGTCAGGGTGCCTCGGCGAATGCTGACGCAGCGTCAGGCGAGCCGCGAACAGCAGAATCGTCCAGGCCGGGATGGAGTCTGGGTCGTGTGCGAGTCGTAGCAGTGGTGTCAGCATAACCATAGCGAAAAGTAGGCGCAATTTTTCCGGCAGGCGACGTGCCAGCGGAGCGTTGCGACTATCGCGTAGCTTATCCAGATTCCAGGTACTGACGTTCGCGAATAGTGTGTCGTCCTTGGCGAGGGCTTCGGGCGATTTTTGGGGGGGGGGCTGTGGTTGCTGTTGGTTACCCCTCGCTGCAGTTCGCGGTGCATTTGCAGGTGGCGAAGTCAGGTTCGGTTGGGCGGGATGGTTGGCAGTGGTGGCAGGGGGGCGGGAAGCGGTTTGAATCTGTGGTGAGGGTCGCGGCTGGGTGAATGTGTTTCTGAAATTTGATGACGCGCTTCGGGCATGGGTTGAGCTGATTCTCCCCCGAGCTGGAGTTTGTGACTGGGCCTCCTCCGAGGCATTCGAAGTTGAGGGTGCGCCTTCTTCTCCCTCCTCCGCCTCATAAATACTCCCCGATACTTCTACTTCTTCGTTAGTTCTAGCTAATTCAGTTAAAGCCCTTCGCGCCGCTGCCTGGAACGCGTTCTCCGGACCTCCTTCACGAGTGCCTCTACCACGTCCGCGACCTCCGGCTCGACCCCCTCGTGCCCGCGCACTGGCCGCGGTCAGCTGGGGATTTCCGCGACTACCTACTCCCGCGTTCTGACGCAGCCGTGCGTCCTCGATCACCTGCTGTCGGCGCGTTCGCCGCAATGGCGACTGAAGCGGAGAAGTCAGCGGTGGATCAAGGTCACACCGCTGAGAGTGCGATTGCTCCGCCTCCGGCCCTTGTTGCTGGTGTAGCTGTTGCTGCTGCTCCCTTTGCCCCCCCGGCTCCTCCTGTTGCTGTTGCGGCGTCCTCTGTTCCAGTCCCGCCGGTGTCGGCTCCCCCTCCGAGCCTTCCACACGTTGATCCCGCGTCCGGCGCGCCGGTTCCCGTCGCGCAGCCGTCGCTTGTGGCCGCGCTGTCTGTCCAAGCTGCCGCCGGGGTCCCTGCGCCGGAGACAGCGGTGGGCGCCGGCCCCGACTCTGCCCGCCTGGTGGCCCCTGCGGCTGCGCCGGTGCATCCCGTCGCGCAGCGGCACGCGGAGTCTCAGATTCACGGTGCCGCGGGGGGCAATGCGGCAGCGCATCGGGGGCGAGGTTCTCCTCGGCGACGCCCCTCCTCGTCGTACCGGTCGGCGCACCGCGGAGGCCGCGGTGGTTGGTGGGGAGGACACGGTCGCGGGCGCGGTGGGCCAAGCGAGATGCAGCAGCTGCGCGAGGATTTCCCGGGGATGTTAGCTGCGGCGATGCGCAGTGCCCTGAGTGGCGCACCGAATCTTGGAAACTCTCTGGCTCCCGCCGCTCCTGCGTCCGCCCCCGCTCCAGTGAATGCGCAAGCTCCGGCCGCGCCCCTTGCTGCTCCTGCGCCACCCGCATTGGCGTACCCGCGGGTTCCCGCTCCTGGCGCTGATCGTGCTCCGCGTGCATCCTTGTGTCCTGTTTCTGCTGCGCCATATCCCCTGCTGCCATGGATTCCTCCTCTTCCAGACATGGGATTTGTGGGGGCGGGAGGCGGAGGGGCGAGGGTGGCCTTCGTCCCTCCGCGGCAGCATGCTGATGTTCCATCAGTGCAGCCCCCGCCCCCTCTTCCTGTTCCAGCTGCGCTACTGACCACTGGGCTGGCCCAAGTTCCCACGGCGACTCTCGCCCAGTTGTGGCGATTGGTGGAGTGTCAGCAGGCCCTGACACTGATTCTGGTGAACTCACATTTTGCCATTCTCTGGAACCCAGGGAGCACTCTTGATCGTGATGCGCGAGCTGATTGCATGGCGGCTGCTGCCCAGCTTGCCTTCCTCCTCCTACCCGTGCTGGGAGCGCCCGCACTGGGAGGCGTAGCGGTCTCGCAGCTGGACGAGACGGTCCAGGGTCTGACAGCACACCTCCGCGATGGAGGCGCGATTGAAGCTGTCGGCGCGACCGCATTAGTGGTCCAGCAGTTGTGGAGGACCATGCGCGGTATCCTTGCGGCACTGGATGCCCACTTGATGTAGCCTCAGGCACCCGCCGTATGTAGACCTATTGCATCTCGGTGTCTAGAAGGTGGGCACATTGCCCATAGTTGTCTTGCCGTGTGTGCCTACGAAAACTGGAACCAAATGAACTAAAGAAGAAAAGAGGTCTCCACGGGACACTTAAATAGCTAGGGACTGAGGGCAGAGGCAGAGGGCAGAGGCTAAGTCCTCTCTCTCTCTCACTCTCTCCGCCTACGAAAACTGGAACCAAATGAACTAATGAAGAAAAGAGGTCTCCACGGGACACTTATATAGCTAGGGACTGAGGGCAGAGGCAGAGGGCAGAGGCTAAGTCTCTCTCTCTCTCTCACTCTCTCCGCCTACGAAAACTGGAACCAAATGAACTAATGAAGAAAAGAGGTCTCCACGGGACACTTATATAGCTAGGGACTGAGGGCAGAGGCAGAGGGCAGAGGCTAAGTCCTCTCTCTCTCTCCCTCTCTCTCTCTCTCTCTCTCGCTCTCTCGAACGAACGCCGAAATTGAACTCCACACGAAATAATGAGGAGAAAAAGACCAAACCAGCCCTTAAAAGGCTATGGAGAGCAGAGGGCAGAGGGATGAGGCAGAGGGCAGAGGGCTAAGGGAATCTCTCTCTCCCTCTCTCTCTCTCTCTCTCTCTCTCTCTCTCTCTCTCTCTCTCTCTCTCTCTCTCTCTCTCTCTCTCTCTCTCTCTCTCTCTCTCTCTTCCTCGTTTTGTCCTGTTCCAGGCTGGCGAGTTGCTGGAATCATTGCAGGAAGGAAGCACGAAAGGAGAGGAGGGAGGAGAGGAGGAGAGAGGAGAGGAGACGGGAGAGGAGGAGGGGGGAGAGGGGAGAGGAGAGGAGGAGGGGGGAGAGGAGAGAGGAGAGGAGGAGGGGGGAGAGGAGAAGGGAGAGGGGGAGGGGGGAGAGGAGGGGGGAGAGGAGGGGGGAGAGGAGAGGGGAGAGGAGGAGGGTGGAAAAGTTGACAGGAGAGAACGGGAGGGGGAAGAAGGGGGAGGAGAGGAGGAGAGGGGAGAGGAGGAGGGGGGAGAAGGGGAGGGAGAAGGGAAAGGAGCAAAAAAGAAGGGAAGGAAAAGCAGAGGGAGAAGGAGAAAGGGAAAGGGAGAGAATTGCACAACGGAAGTGCAAGGTTCCTTGCATGAAGGAGAGAGAGGAGAAGGGGGCGAAGATGAGGGAATGGGGGAAGGGGATGACGAGGATGGGAGAGATAGGGAGAAAGATACAAACGAGGATGATGAAAGGGAGAAGAGGGAGAAGAAGCGAGAGAGTGAGAAGGGGAGAGAAGAGGAGAAGGAGCAGTGCAGGGCCAAGGCACGGGCAGTGGGCACCATTCGGCTGATAGGGGAGCTGTTTCTTCAGAGAATGATTCCCGAACCGGTGGTTCATGCATGTGTGCAGGTGAGTGGTTCGTGTATGTGCAGGTGCGTGGGTGCGCATGTGTGCAGGTGAGTGGTTCGTGTATGTGCAGGTGCGTGGGTGCGCATGTGTGCAGGTGAGTGGTTCGTGTATGTGCAGGTGCGTGGGTGCGCATGTGTGCAGGTGAATGGTTCGTGTATGTGCAGGTGCGTGGGTGCGCATGTGTGCAGGTGCGTGGGTGCGTATGTGTGCAGGTGCGTGGGTGCGCATGTCTGCAGGTGCGTGGGTGCGCATGTGTGCAGGTGCGTGGGTGCGCATGTGTGCAGGTGCGTGGGTGCGCATGTGTGCAGGTGCGTGGGTGCGCATGTGTGCAGGTGCGTGGGTGCGCATGTGTGCAGGTGCGTGGGTGCGCAGGTGTGCAGGTGTGCGGGTGGTTATGTGCAGGTGAGTGGAGTGTTGAGGCGCGTCAGAATGTGTTGGGAAACATTCAGCTGATAGGGGAGTTGTTTCTTCAGAGAGTCATTCCAAAGTGGGTGGTTCGCTTCACGCATGTGTGCAGGTGAGTTGAGTTTAGGCGCGTTTCATAAGCTTCTAGCGCCAACCATTGCATAAGCTTCTTTCCCTCACAACCCTCTTCAAGGAACTTTTGAGCGATCCTGCGTCCAAAAAGGGACCGATCCTTCCCTCGCAGAATCCCCCCTCCCTCCCACGTGGAAGCTGCATATGTGCTGCTTGCCATAACCGAAGGGGCTTATTGACAGGACGAATGCCGTTTTCATAATAGCCCCCTTTCCCTTCCCGTTCTTACCTCCCTTACCTCCCTTACCTCCCTTACCTCGCTTACCTCGCTTACCTCCCTTACCTCCCTCTTCCCTCGTATTTCTCTCTTCCACAAACTGTTGGGTAACCTAGTTTGTGTTCCTCCTCCTTCTCATATAATAGCGGTGCGTGTTTGTGTGTGTTTGCTGCTTTTGATTGCAAGGGGGACGATGGAGAGGAGTGGGGGAGTGCCACTACTGTTGGACAAGTACCCCCCTCGTTCACCTCCCTTCCAACTATTGCTTCTCTCCCATACACCCCTCGCTTCCCTCCCTCCCCCAGGAACTTTTGGGCGATCCTGCATCCATCCGCCCTCCCACCCACGTCGAAGCAGTGTGTGTGCTGCTCACAATAGCAGGGGGGGCGATGGAGAGGAGGGGGAGAGCGCCGCTGCTGCTTGAAGGTATCTTAGGCGTGTGGAGTATTTGGCTAAGTACCAGGGGACTGAGAAGGATCAGCTGGTAAATGCATCGAGGAACACACCTAGCTGGTTGTGTTTGCAGCAAAAGCATCAAGAGCAGCAGAAACAGCAGCAGTGCCAGCTCGCACCAGCCAGCAGCACCAGCTCGCACCAGCCAGCAGCACCAGCTCGCACCAGCCAGCAGCACCAGCTCGCACCAGCTCGTGCCAGCCCGAGCAGGCCGCGCTCCAGCTTTCGCCAGCCCGCGTGCCGCTCGCACCTGCCGCCCACTGCCCGCGCCAGCTCGCCCTGCCGAGCCAGCCTGCGGCGCCCTGCTGTGCTGAGCCCGAAAAGCTGTCGGTCTCCTCCCCATGTGCTCGTTTCCTCCCACCTGCTGTAGCTGCGCCCTTGCTTCCTGCAGTTATGGCGACTGAGTCAGTCTTGCGTTTCGATGCGGAGGGTCGTGCGATTGACTTCGCTTCGTGGCTGCTGGAACTCAAGCTCTACCTGCGGAGCCAGCTTCAGCATGACATCTCCCTGTACGATCACGCTTCGGGTGAGCTCCCAGCCCCGTCGCGTCCTTTTGGTCTTGCTGCTGACGCCACGCCAGCGCAGAAGGAGGAGTACCGCGAGGCTCGACTAGAGCGCACGCAGTGGGAGGCGCGCGACGCCGCTGCGCGCCTTGCTATTGGTCGCCACCTCCCGCAGGCCGAGCGGAAACACTTTTGCCATGTGGAGACAGCAAAGGAGTGCTTTGATGTTGTTATTGCTCGCTACTCCACTCCCTCCTCTGCCTCTTTGGGCCGCCTCTTTCTGCCTTTCCTCTTTCCAGATCTCTCTGCGTTCTCCACTGTTGCTGATCTCGTTACCCACCTGCGCTCGCTTGACACTAGCTACCGTGCAGCTTGCACTACTGAGGTCCTTGCTGTGCACCCGCCCCCCATGTACATCACCCTGTACCTCCTCGCGACCCGCCTTCCTGACCGATTCGCAACTGCTCGCGACGCTTTCCTCTCAAAACACCCAATGAACCTCACTATCGATTTCTTTGAGAAGCGTCTCACTAAGATCGAGACCCGCTTACTCGCCATAGCCTCCTCCTCTAGTACAGTGCTTCCCCCCATGTTTGAGGGATGCGCCCCATCCTTCCTCGCCGCTGCCTCTGCGTCGGCTGCTGTTGCTCAGCCTGCTGCCCCGACAGAGCTTGCAGCAGTTGCTGCCTCTGGTGAACAGCGACGTCGCAAGGGTGGTCGGAGGCGCGGAGGGGGTGGAGGGGGTGGAGGAGGTGGAGGCGGTGGAAGTGCTGGTACGTCTGGGGGAGAAGACGCTGGAAGAGGTCCTGAGTCTGGTGGTACGGGCAGAAGAGGTGCTGGTCCTAGGGGTGTGGCTGTGACGCAGCAGCAGCAGCAGATCGAGCATTGGGCCTCTCTGCAGCAGTGGAGACCTAGTGGTCCGGGGAGCGTCGGCTGCGGTGGCAGCCCTGGCAACTGGGTGGCGCATCGTCGGGACGTCGGGCCCTGTCAGTACCGACTTCTGACTGGTCCGAGTGCTGGCACCGTCTGTATGCGACATGATCATTCCGCTGCGCGCTGCTTCCGCCGCCTCGACGACCTTTATCGCGTTCACTTTTTGTCTCAGGTGGTCACTCCTGACTGGTTGGCGCTGCTGCAACGTGGTTTGCCTTTGTTTAGTATGGACATGTCTGATATTTTTTCTGTTCTGTATGCTGTTGATGACTATAGTACTGCTGGATCTTTTTATTCGTGTGTACTTAGACTAGGATCTTTAGCTGTCTCTAGTGTCAAATCTTCTGGCACAGGTGCGTCCACTACTAACGCGTCGCTCTCTTCGCCTCTCGTCGCGGAGGGAGGGAGGGAGGGAGGGAGGTGTTGGAAACAATTGATTTAGCGCCTCTGTCGTGTCGAAACACCAAGTCAGAAGCGAAGCGAAACATATCGAAGCATTAGCGAGTCAACCCTCAGAGGTTGAACAACTGCTGGAGGTTATGCTAAAGTCAAAGGTCAGCGACTTTTGACCTGACAAATACAGCGCGACAGCAAGGACAAACAACTGACTCGCTATTGAGCAGTTGCCCGAGTCATCACTGTATCGAACCGCAACAGCAACACCAAAACGGTTATTAACTGTATCTCTTCGTATTCCTTGTACTCTTATAAAAGCTTGTATCCCTTTGTTTTAATCAATCTACTTTGCCCTCACATACTAGCGCAAGGTGGTTCACAAAGTTCTTATTAAACGCTTCCGCTATTACATTGTCCTACTCAGAATTCAGTCCTGCAAAGATCCTAAGGGCTTTTCTCAGCCCAACAGGAGGGAGGGAGGGAGGGGAGGGAGGGAGAGAGGGGAGGGAGGGAGGGAGGGGAGGGAGGGAGGAAGGAGGGAGTCCAGATTCAGAAGCTCTTGCGAAGGGAGACCGGTTTTGATTTTCCTAAACCAGGGAATTTTCCAAAAGAGAAATGACAAAGAGAATGCCAATGTCAAAGCTAGGTTACTGTAAGGAAAAATCCTTTTCCTTACTTCGCATCACTGCTCAGCGCGTACAACACTGACAGCACCCCACAACATGGGGTAACCTGTCAAAATCACTTCAATCCCTCCAGGCCACTCCAGTGTCGCCAGCCTCACCTGAAGTGTTGGAAGCCCTCACAGCGAAACACCCACCTGCATGTCAATCACTCCCTGATTGGCTTCACACTGCCACGGCGGAAGACCCACCCACTTTCGAAGCCCGCGACTTCAGGCGTCTCCTCGCCAAGCTCCCCAATGGAGTCGGGGCCGGGCCTTCAGGAACCACTTTCGAGCACATCCGAGACGCGGCCCTTGGGAATGCCGAAGTACTCACCCATCTCCTCGCCCTCACAAACACGGCTCTAGCAGGAAAACTCCCCACTGTCGCAGGGGAACTCCTAACGGCCTCCCGCCTGTTAGCCTTTACGAAACCTCAAGGTGGGACGAGGCCAATCGCGGTGGGTGAATGTCTCCTCCGGATTATTACCAAGGCCGCCCTATTTCTGACCGCGCCGGCTGCTCGTACTCACTTTGCTCCCCTTCAGTTCGGAGTAGCAGTAGCAGGGGGGATCGAAGCGGCTATCCACACCGCTCGCACGTACCTGGAAGTGCACCCAGGGGCAGTGGCGCTGCAGATTGACCTCGCGAACGCGTTCAATGCGGTCGAAAGGAGAGCGGTGTTCGAGGGGCTGAGAAACGAGGCGCTGAAGGCGCTGATCCCCCTCGTCCGCCTATCCTATGGGGCTGCCTCCTCTCTCTTCCTCGACCACGACTTCGGCGCCGCCCCGCTGCAGAGCGCCAGAGGAGTCCGCCAAGGGGACCCGCTCGGCCCCCTCCTGTTCGCGGCAAGCATCCATCCGTGCCTCGTTGACACGGCGGCAGCACACCCTCAGGTGGTCCTGCTGGCGTACGCCGACGACATCACGCTGCTCGGCGACGCCACGGCCTGCACAGCGGCATTTGTCCACCTCACCTCTGCACTAGCCGCCCTCGGCCTGGTACACAATCCGGGAAAATGCGCGGCGTGGTCTGCCGCAGCAATCGACCCTTCTTCGGTTCCCCCAGGCATTAGTATCGCCGAAGAAGGGTTGCAGATTCTCGGCAGCCCAGTGGGCACACCCCGGGGCTGCGCAGGCGCTGTGAGAGAGAGATTGGCAGCAGCGGCAGCCCCACTCCCCCTGCTGGCCCAGATGGACCCCCAGCTTAGTCTCCTCCTCCTCACCCGCTGTGTCAGCCGCCGAGCTTCTTTTCTGGCCAGAACCACCCCCCTGGAAGCCCTCCCGAAGCGGAATGGTCTGCTTGGGGGGAACAGCTCCTCCACACCTTCTTGGTTTCGGCCCACATCATGAGCCCGAGGAGTGCCAGGGAGAGACGGAGGATCTGGCGGCAGGCAGCACTGCCAGTGACTCTGGGAGGCCTGGGCATCACTGACCCCGCTGTTGAAAGCAGCTACGCCTACCTCGCTTCAGTGATCAGCGCCGCCCACCTCCTGCACTCCCTGGAGGACTCGCTGCATCCCGCTATCGCCGCGCTCCTCCCCCTACTGGACCCGACCCACGGCTCTCCGCACGCGCTGCCTGCACGCCTCGCTGCGGCTGAGGCAGCTCTCCCCCCAGAGGCTCTCGAGGTGCTCCAGGCCGGGAAGGCAGACCCCAAGGGACTGAAGCTGCAGCAGAGCCTAGCGCTGGCGGTTCACTCCCACCGCTTCTTGAGAGTCATGCGCGAGGCAAGGCGGATGCGCCCCAACCCCCGTTCTGGCCACGCGCAAAGGATGCAGTCAGTGCTAGGCCCAGGCGCGGGGGACTGGCTGCTGGCGATCCCGCTCATCCCCTCGCTACGGATGGGCCCCTCCTAGCTCTCTACTGCAGCTGCCTTCCGCCTAGGCCTTCCCCTCCCCGTGCCCAGACGCTGTGACTGCCGCTACCGCACCACCTTCCCCGACGATCGCCTCCCCAACCACCTCATGCGCTGCGAGAAGGGGAAAGGGAGGACCGCAACCCATCACGCTCTGCGGGACGAGATTGCGAACATAGGGGCTGAGGCGGGGTTTACGGTTCACAAGGAGACGTATGTCTACTCTCTGGTTGAAAACCTAAAGGCGGATGTCACCATCCGTCATCCCCTGACTGGAGAGGTTTGGATGTGCGACGTGACCGTGACGGACCCGGTGTCCTACCAGGACGAGAACTGCAACCGAGCTCCTGGATGGGCGGCTAGGGCGGCAGCGGCGAAAAAGGAGGAGAAGTACGCCCGTCGGAACGCGTGGGTGGGATTCCACGCGCTTGCAGTAGAAACCTACGGCTACCCCTCGCCAGGGGTGATGGCTTACCTGCGGCAATGCGCGGAGCTGGCGGCGAAGCTGCGTTTTAACGCAGCACCTACCTCCTACGAAGCAGCGAAGCTGCTGACGGAGTACCGCCAGCGCTGGAGCGTGTGCCTCCAGCGGGCGCAGGCCAACGCCCTCCGCACCAAGACCAATGAGGCCTTGGCGACGGACGAGCTCGGCTTTCGGGGCCCCATCATCCCTCTCAGTGAGGGACAGCTGCACCAGTTGATTGAGGCCCCTCTCGACCAGTAAGGTCGGACAAGGGGGGGGCGGAGTAGGTGGGGGACTTGAGGGAGATAGAATACCGGTTTATGTGTTTGTTTATGCTTTGCGTTTTGCATCTTCCTTTGTACCACCCCATATGGAATACAAGGACCATTCGAGAGAGAGAGAGAGAGAGAGAGAGAGAGCGTTGGGTGCGGAGGAAGAAAGATATTACCACCCCTTTCCTTCTAAGCTCTCTCCTCCCTCGTCCAGCCTGGCAAGGCCGAGGGGGAGGGGGAGGGAGAGATGAGGTGATTACCGGCATTCTCACTCAGCTTAGCTGCACGTTTAAACTCCTCCATCTCACACGTGTATTGAGGGTATTCTCAAAAATACCCTCAATACACTCAGCTTAGCTGCACGTTTAAACTCCTCCTTCTCTTCTCACAAATGCCCTGCAGCACAAAGGAGTTTCCTCAGGTGATTACCTACCAGCAGCCTCACTCAGCTTAGCAGCAAAGGGTCTCCTTTCTGCACTTTAGACTCCTCCTCCTCCTCCTCCTGCTCCTCCTCCTCCTCCTCCTCCTCCTCCTCCTCCTCCTCCTCACACGTGCACACTGCCCAGAAGACTTTTGAGGTGCCTCAAAAGTCCTTCCTGCAGTTTAGATTCCTCCTCACACGTGCTCACTGCCCAAAAAAATGGGTTTCTTGAGCCACTACCTGCATTCCGCAACCATTTGCCACCGCACCCCACCACATCCCACCACACCCCGCCGCACCCCACCGCAACTCACCCACCCCATCCCACCGCACCGCACCGCACCCCACCTGGAGCCTCAGCTTAACAGCGCGTTCTAACTCCTCCTGACACGTGCCCAGCAGCACAGGTTTTCCAAGCCATTACCGCACTCCACAACCACTTGCCACCGCACCCCACCTGGAGCTTCAGCTTAGCCACGCGTTCGAACTCCTCCTGACACATGCCCAGCAGCACACGGCGGAAGGAGATCGGCTCACCCCCTCCTGCCCCTGCGTCCCCTTCTTCCCCCCCTGCTCCGTTGGATGGTGGAAACTCGGGCAGCGCTCTCGATTTTTTTTCGCAGAGGGCAGCATACATTGGGCAGAAGGTGGGTTCGTCTACTGACTTGGTGAAAATTAATGATATCACGCCCTGAGAGGAGGGGGTGAGGTGAGGAGAGGGGAGGGAGAAAGTGGGTGAGAGGGGAGCGGGGGAAGAGGGGAGGGGGGAAAGAGGGGAGGGGGGAAAGAGGGGAGGGGGAGAAGGGGGTTTAGTTGATGTGAAGTAGCATTCAGCTGAAAGCAGGTGGGTTCGTCTAATGCGTAGGAGATTAACGTTTTCAATGCAATTGTGAAGGGGGTGGGGATGAAGGAGGGGGGAGGGGGTGGGGATGAAGGAGGGGGGAGGGGGTGGGGATGGGGGGATTAACAATGCAATTGTGCAGCAATCATTCAAAACGGTTTGTTTGATGTTAGAAAGCAAGAACGGCTAATACTGAGCAGACGTGCACTTCATCTGTTGAATTCACCTGAAATCAATGAAAAATGCATGCTCTGCTAGAATCACCTGGAGGATCTCAGGTGTGTTGATGCCAGCTGTCAGGAGCTGCTGAAAAAGCGGTTCGAACGTCTCAGGTGCGAGCTTGTTCAGAATGCTGCGTTGCCAAAGGGGTTAGGCAGGGGGAAGAGGTGGGGGAAAGGGGGAAGCCCATAAGTCGACACATGAGTCACCTCGAAAGAGCGGTTCGAACATCCCAGGTGTGAGCTTGTTGAGAATGCTGGGGAGTCCACGGGTGAAGGGGGGAGGGGGAAGGGGGAAAGGGGGTTGCGGAGGGGAAGGGAAGAGGGCGGGGGGGGGGGGTGAGACGCCCCAAAGCCTGAAGAGCGGATCGAACATTCCCGTGTGAGCGGATCGAACATTCAGAATGCTGCTGCGGCACAGAGCGAAAGGGAAGGGGGAATGGGGAAGGGGAGCGGGGGAAGGGTTAATGTGCCTTGTCACACCTCATTAAACTCGCCCCAGTCTATAACGGGTACAATCCAGCTGCCGTACGTACCCTTGCACGGTTCGCAGCACTTTCTGCTTCTCATCCACTACGCGTCCACGTGGCACCCGTGGATTGGCTGCCTTGACGATCGTGGCAGGATCCATGGTCAGGATTCGTCCTTGCTGTGACGACGGCTTCTGGAATCGCAGGGATGCTACAATACTATAGTCCGCTGATTTCCTCCAAATGGCGTTGGCTATTATCAGCCGTCGATCTTCCCTCGAATTTTCATCGGGTGGAGCTTGAGAAAAGCTATATATTCGCGTGAGGATGCATTTCAGAGCCAGAACCGATTTTCTAAGACTTATCGTTTCTCTGTCGAACTAACAAGAGAACCGGCAATCGCGGAAAGCAAATGATAACATTGGGGAATGGCAAACGATAGTAAAAGCGACGAGGAGTTTACAAGAGTAGCAATGCGGCTCGCATTAGAAGCTTTGCTGGCATTCCAAGAGCTAATGGAAGAAATTAATTCCGGGCTTATCTCGCGAGAATGGGCGAAAAAGAATGACTGAACTTTTGGTTACCGCTGATTGTGCGTATACTTTCGCAAAGATTGAAACGTCAAGTCTGTCCCAGGCATTCATCAGCTGGAAAGGCCGTCGCGATCGCGTTCACGACGGGTAACATGTTCGCAACAGCACGCAAACTTCTCGTTGAGGGTAACCGAGCCGATAATGCCAGTTGGGTTCACTCAGATGCTGCCCAGTCGGAAATCTCACTGGTTTACAGAAAATCAACGGCGGCTTTTCAACTGGGCACTTCGTTTGATGAATCAGCCGTCCAGTAGCACCTTGTTTTGGGCATAAACGGTTCTCGCCCATCAGTCCTGAGAATAAAGACGTTCCCATAGACTCAAAAAGCCGTTCTCGGCCTTCTATCCTTCTCATAGAGTAAGGACGTGTGTAGCAAACAAGGAGGACAAGGAAGTTTGTAGCGAGTCAAGCGTAGCCACTCGTGTGACGCGTATGCATACACACAAGGCACCCAGCGACTTTTGAGACACACAAGGCACCCAGCGAATTTTGAGACACACAAGGCACCCAGCGACTTTTGAGACGTCTCAAAACCCAGCGCACAAGGCGCTGCTTGTCGGGGGCGCGGTTGATTGCACATACTTCTTTTCAAACGCGGAATTTCCTGTCTCTTTATTACGAGTTCCGTTACGAAGACCTAGTCGCATGGCGGCAACGGCAGCGGCAGCGGCGGGCCCGCGGGCGGGGTTTCCGTCGCAGGAGCTGCTGGACGACCTATGCAGGTAGGCTCTGGCGACCCATGCGACCCGTACGACCCATTCGACCCCTGCGACCCGTGCGACATTTGCGAGCCTTGCGACGTCTGAAATACCCCTGTCCCCCACCAGTCGCTTCGTGTTCGACGTGCCGCGGGAGGGAGGACCTTCCAGGCACCTCAAACGCCTCAAATACGTCCTTCTCCCTCTCCCCTGCCCCTCTCTCTCTCCCCAGTCGCTTCGTGTTCAACGTGCCAGGGGAAGACCTGCAGCCCTTTGAGCGCATGGATTGTTGAGTCCACTCAAAGTTCGTCCCACGCACACCCGTCCTTCCTCTTCCCCTCGTCCCCCCCGTCCCCCCTCTATCGCCCACCAGTCGCTTCGTGTTCAACGTGCCGGGGGAAGAGCTGCAGTCCTTAGAGCGCATGGAACCCCTTTCCCCTCTCCGCTTGCCCTTTCTGCTCCCACAGACACCCTCCCCCCCTCCCCCCCCTCCCCCCCTGCCGCCCACCAGTCGCTTCGTGTTCAACGTGCCGGGAGAGGACCTGCAGTCCTTTGAGCGCATGCTCTTCTCCATCGAACAGGTGCTGCCGCGCTGCACCGTTTGGCACCACTTGGCACCGCTTGGTACCGCTTCTGCACAGTATTTCATGCTTCCAGATGTCCCAAACGTTTGAGTACACTATCTTCTCCGTCTAACCCGTGCCTGCCACTGCACTGTTTAGCACCGCATAGCACCATATCATACTGCTTAGTATCGCCTAATACTGCTGACTTGGCAGTGCTTGCGTAGCAGCGCTGACATGCTGCGTGCTGACGTGGCAGGCGCATTGGTTCTACGAGGACAAGTGTCGCGAGCGGCACACGCCACCTCTGCGCTCATTCACCCTCCGAGACTTCACCAACCTCCGTGCGTGAACAACCTTCTTATGTAATATCTCCCACCCCCTCGTTCCCCCTCGTTCCCCCTCGTTCCCCCTCGTTCCCCCTCGTTCCCCCTCGTTCCCCCTCGTTCCCCCTCGTTCCCCCTCGTTCCCCCTCGTTCCCCCTCCGATAATTCTCTCCTTCCGCCTCTTCCGCCACTGGCCTGGCCTTCCTGTTCCCTTTGACCGCCCCTTTCACCAACTTTCGTGCAAGGGGCTCGTCCCACTCTCTCCCCTCCGCCCCTCCACCTCTGCCCTTGCCTTCCTATTCCCCTCCTCCTCTCCCACCCTCTTCCACCTTCTCCCACCCCCGCATTCACCCTCCGAGACTTCACTAACCTTCGCAGGTGCCTCTTTCTCTTCTCTCTTTCCCCTACCCTTTTCTTCCCCCTCTCACCAACCTCCATGTATGAGCTTTCCTTCACTCCCTCCTCTGCCGCTGGCCCTGCTGCCTCACACCCCGCGTTCACCAACCTCTCTCTATTTGTTCACCCTACCGCGTTCCCTCTCGTTCCCTCTATCCACCCTACTGCTTATCAGTTCGCCACCCCTCTGTGCTTATCGAACTCCTGCCTCTGTTACCCTGTTTCCCATCCCTCCCCCATGTCCCCCCCCCCTCCACTCTCCCTATTTATCTCTCCCGCTGCCAGTGTTCCAGCGCTGTGTGGCTCTCAAGCCATACGCAGCGAGAGTGAACGACATCTACAACGAGTGCACCAGCTACAAGTTCAAAGTGCCTGTCCCCGCTGTCTCCCCTGTTTCCCCTGTCTTCCCTGTCCCCATGTCTCCCCTGTTTCCCCTGTCCCCCCTGCCCCCCCTGTCCCCCCTCTCTGCCCCCCTCGCAGTGTTTCAACGCTGCGTAGCGTTGAAGCCGTATGCAGCGAGAGTGAACGACATTTTCAACGACTTCACAAGCTACAAGTTCAAAGTGCCTGTCACAGGGGCGATCATTCTCGACCACTCAATGACCCGGGTATGTACACACTATGCATGGTTCTCTTGTTCCGTCTTCTTTCGCATCATGTGGGTATGCTCCAAACGTCCGTCTCCAAGTTCAAAGTGCCTATCACGGGGCCGATCATCCTTGACCACTCAATGACCCCTCTCTGCCCCCCTCGCAGTGTTTCACGGGTATGTATGTATGTATGTATGTATGTATGTATGTATGTATGTATGTATGTATGTATGTATGTATGTATGTATGTATGTATGTATGTATGTATGTATGCATGTATGTATGTATGTATGTATGTATGTATGTATGTATGTATGTATGTATGTATGTATGTGTAAACATTTTCTCACTCTTCAATCCGTGGCTGTGTCTTCTCCTATCCTCCCCGCGCCTTATCAATCCCTGTGCTCATCATCCTCTCATCATCCTCTCATCATCCTCTCATCATCCTCTCATCATCCTCTCATCATCCTCTCAGCATCCTCTCATCATCCTCTCATCATCCTCTCATCATCCTCTCATCATTTCCTCTTTCTTGTTATTATGTTTCCTATTTCACCCTGATTATGTCAGCTTAGCCACCTTGCTTGATGTGTTAGTGTTTCGCTATTTCCGCCACCTCCCCTCTCTCCACCCCTGCCCTGCCGTGCTGCTACAGTGCATACTCGTTAAAGGGTGGCGAACCTCTGCGAGTTGGGGCTTTCCCAAGGGCAAGAAGGGGCTGAAGGAAACGGATGTGGAGGCAGCGGTTAGGGAGGTGGGTGGTTTGGGGGAGATGGGTGGTTGGGAGGAGGTGAGTGGTTGGGAGGAGGTGAGTGATTGGGAGGAGGTGAGTGGTTGGGAGGAGGTGAGTGGTTGGGAGGAGGTGAGTGGCTGGGAGGAGGTGAGTGGTTTGGTTGGTGCAAGTTGTACGTGTTGGTTGAGGGCAAAAGGGCAAGAAGGGGCCTTGGGACATGTTCATACAGACGGATGCAGAGGCAGCAGCAGTCAGGACTCAGGAAGGTGGTGGCAGGGCAGCTGCAGTAGTAGTAGCAGCAGCAGCAGCAGCATCGTTGAGAATTGCTCAGATTCTTTTTGCATTTCTCATTCTCTGGTCAACCAATCCGCTTGTCTTCCTGCCTGCAATCGCAGGTGTTGGAGGAGACAGGCTTCGACATCTCCCCTCTGGTCAAACCCTCAGAGAATCTGGAGATGGTGGCCGGGCAGCAGCAGCAGCAGCAGCAGCATTTCATTCATTGACTCAGAATTTTTCTTATTCCTTCATATGACATGACAGGTGTTGGAGGAGACAGGCTTTGACATCTCGTCCCTGGTCAGCCCATCAGAGAATCTGGAGGTGGTGGCTGGCAGGGCAGGGCAGCAGCAGCAGAAGTAATCACCCATATTTCTTCTTCTTTCCGATTGTAGGTGTTGGAGGAGACAGGCTTTGACATCTCGTCCCTGGTCAGCCCATCAGAGAATCTGGAGGTGGTGGCGGAGCAGCAGCAGCAGCAGCGGGAGCATCGATCCTCACTGCATTCTCATCTTCCTTTATTCTTTCTCATCCGCTCCTCTCCCATGACAGTTGTTGGAGGAGACAGGCTTTGACATCTCGACTTTAGTCAACCCTTCGGAGTATCTGGAGGTGGTGGCAGGGCAGCAGCAACAGCAGCAGCGATCCCCAAAGCATTTCCTATCTCATGCTTTCTCTTGTCCTTTCCCATGACAGGTGTTGGAGGAGACAGGCTTTGACATCTCGACTTTAGTGAACCCGCTAGAGTATCTGGAGGTGGTGGCAGGGCAGCAGCAGCAGCGCTCGCGGCTGTTTGTGGTGGCGGGGGTTGACTCGCGCACTGCAGTGTTCCAACCGCAAACAGTCAAGGAGATCAGCGTGAGTGCCTTGGGATGGGTTGGGTTGGGGCGGGGTGGGATGGGGTGGGGTGGGTGCTGCCCTCTCTCCAATCCCTCAGGAAATCGCCAGGCTTCTCGTCTGTAACGTGGCCAGCCCACAGCTGCTTCTTGAAACTTCTCAAACCCCGCCTGCTCGTCTTTTGAGGCGACTATAAAAATTGCGGGTAAAGAGATGAATTTTGAGGCAACTATAAAAATTGCGGGTAAAGATATGAATTTTGAGGCAACTATAAAAATTGCGGGTAAAGAGATGAATTTTGAGGCAACTATAAAAATTGCGGGTAAAGAGATGAATTTTGAGGCGCCCCAAAAGGCGTGGCCAGGCCACAGCTGCTTCTTGAAATGAAACTTCTCAAACCCCACCTGCTCGTCTCTCCCTCCTTCCTCCCCTCTCAGGAGATCGCATGGCATCTCATCCCACAGCGCAATGCGATGGTGCTTTGTCTGTCTCTCGCACAGTCAGCAAACCCAACTGACCCAACCTCTTCCTTCTTCACTACTCTCTCTTCGCTGCTCTCTCTCCTCTCCCCCCCTCTCTCAGGAGATCGCATGGCATCTCATATGTGACCTGGCCACAGCACAGTGCGACGGGGCACTGCCAGTCTCTCGCACTGTCAGTGGGGCCAACTGGTCAACTATCCTCGTCCTCCTTCACCACTTTCTTATCGCTGCTCTTGCACTCCTCTCCCCCCCTCTCAGGAGATCGCATGGCATCTCATCTGTGACTTGGCCACAGCGCAGTGCGACGGAGCGCTGCCAGTCTCTCACACTGTGGGCGGGGTGTATTTTGAGGCGCCTCAAAATACACCTCACTACACGCAGAGCGCTGCCAGCCTCTCGCACTGTGGGCAGGGTAAACTCGCCCAACCGACCTCTTTCTGCCTCACCGCTCTCTTTAAACCCTGAACCCTTCCCTCCCCTCTCAGGAGATCGCATGGCATCTGATATGTGACCTGGCCACTGCTCAGTGCGACGGAGCGCTGCCAGTCTCTCGCACAGTCAGCGGAGCCAAGCTCTTCATGGTGCAGCCGTTTGTGAGGTGGGTGGGTGGGTGGGTGCGCAGCGTGCTGTGACTCAAAAAGTGCTACTATACTTGTACAATTCACCCATCTGTGAAAAGAAGTGTTTTGAGACGTCTCAAAACACTTCTACAAAGTGCTACTATACCTATATAATTCACCCAGCTGTGACATGGCGCTGCCGGTCTCTCGCACAGTCAGCGGAGCCAAGCTCTTCATGGTGCAGCCATTTGTGAGGTGTGTGCATCTGCTGCATGTTGCAACTGCTCAGTGCTTGTAGTGCGTGTAGTGCTTGTAGTGCTTGTAGTGCTTGTACTGCTTGTACTGCTTGTACTGCTTGTACTGCTTGTAGCGCTTGTAGCGCTTGTAGCGCTTGTAGCGCTTGTAGCGCTTGTAGCGCTTGTAGCGCTTGTAGCGCTTGTAGCGCTTGTAGCGCTTGTAGCGCTTGTAGCGCTTGTAGCGCTTGTAGCGCTTGTAGCGCTTGTAGCGCTTGTAGCGCTTGTAGCGCTTGTAGCGCTTGTAGCGCTTGTAGCGCTTGTAGCGCTTGTAGCGCTTGTAGCGCTTGTAGCGCTTGTAGCGCTTGTAGCGCTTGTAGCGCTTGTAGCGCTTGTAGCGCTTGTAGCGCTTGTAGCGCTTGTAGCGCTTGTAGCGCTTGTAGCGCTTGTAGCGCTTGTATACCTCTATGAGTCGCGGTGCGTGGCCTCTGTGACCCTAAACCCACCAGGCCGCTGCTCGAGTGGATAAAGCGCCACCACAGGCCTGACTTGCTTGACCATGCTGCCAGTCCCCTCTCCTCCATCTTACCCCACCACTTCACACTCATCCCCACCCCATCAATCCACACCCATCCCCACCCATCCCCAACCCTCGCAACCGCCCGCTCCTCGAGTGGATAGACCGTCACCATACGCCCGACTCCCGGCAGCTAGCAGTGCACATGATACGTGATCTTAACTTGTGTGACCCATCTCTGTCCCATCATGCTGCCACCTGCTGCCATGCTGCCCCCATCTCGTCTTCCGCAGCCCTCTACCCATCCCTTCACCCCTCCCATTCCGCACCTACCAGGCCGCTGCTGGAGTGGATAGACCGCCACCAGCACACGCCGGACTCGCCACCACCATGTTACCATCTCGTCTCTCGTCCACCCTCTACCCATCCCAACCCTTCACCCCTCCCACCCCTGCCCCCTTCACCCACCAGGCCCCTTCTCGAGTGGATAGACCGCCAGCACACGCCCGACTCCCGGCAGCTAGCAGTGCACATGATGCCACAGAACGTTCCAGGGAGCATCTTCTCCGTCTGGAAAACCAGCACCGTTCTGCCCGCCTCTCCACAAACATCCCACTCTTTCGCTCCTCCTGGCGTTCCTGCTTCTGCTCCTGTTGCTCCTCCTCCTGCTCCTACTGCTGCTGCTGCTTCCGCCAGTGCTGCTCCCCTCACTGCTCCTCCCACCGCTGCTGCCTCCCACTCCCATCATCCCACCATCCCAGCCACCACCACTGCAGTCCCACACATTCCCACCGCATCCCCTTCCTCTCTCCGGCATCCAGTCTCCTCCCGCCACGTGGCGGCGGCCAGGAAGCAGCTCTTTCCCGCCGATTCTCCGCCCCTGTCCACGTCAGCATCGTCTGGGCTCCTGCCAGGTGGCGCCCGGGCGGGAATCCTCAGGCTTCCAGCTGGCACTCTCCCGCGGCAAAGCTTGCATCAGCAACAGCAGCAGGCGCCATCAACGTTATCGGCACCACAGCCAGCAGCAGGAGCGGCAGAACAACCAACATCATTGGCAGCAGCAGCAGCAGCTGCAGCAGCGGCGGTTCCTCTGCTTCCTCCCTGCTCGGAATGGGTCAGTTTCAAGTTTGATTGCGTCGCCATTCTGCGGGCCATGCAGGCTGCGTGACTGAATGCTGCTGATGGTGGTTCACTGCTAGCTTTAGGTTCACTGCTCAGCAGCTGCAGTAGCGGCGGCTCTTCTGCTTCCTCCCTGCTCGGAACGGATAGACTTCAAGGTTGATCGCGATGCCATTCTGCGTTCCATGCAATCTGCGTGACTGCCTGCCTATTACTCTGTCTGCTAGCTTTAGGTTCATTCCTCAGCGATGGTTCCTCTGCTTCCTCCCTGCTCGGAACGGATAGACTTCAAGGTTGATCGCGATGCCATTCTGCGTTCCATGCAGCCTGCGTGACTGAATGCTATGTTTAGTCAGATTTCATGCACCTGATTTCTTATAAGCAGCTTCTCTAGGCACACTTGTTGCTTTGCTACTCACGTCAAAACAGCCTTTTTGGCTCCTAAGCAGGAGCAGGAGGAATGCCATTCTCTCTTCATGTCAATTCAAACCCTCTTCATGTCAATTCAAACCCCCTTCATGTCAATTCAAACCCTCTTCATGTCAATTGAAACCCTCTCCCCCTTCCCCCTCTCCCTTCCCCCACCACATAAATTAGCGCCCCCATGCCATCCTGGCAAGGAATGGGTGGATTTTTGCTTGATTGCTGTGCCATTCTTGCACACTATGCAGCAGGTACGGTACCAATACCGTTTTTCTTTACTACGGTAGATCTGCTGGCACCTTATTGGCCTAGGCCTGGCGATGCCATTTCATGCACCTAGCTCTGGGTGCTAAATAGCACTGTACCTCAACCCAAAAAACATACACCCTCTTATTAACCTTTTATAAATGGACAATAGTACAACAAACATACAGGCTTCATCCAGCGAATTCTTGTCAGGGAATTAGACATGGACATGGCAACACAGCACAAGCAGCTTTCGGTACCCAAGAGCGCAGCACCAGCCCTCACCCCATGCACACAGACACAGCAGTACCCAGGTAACACATTCTTGTAGGGAACTAGACACAGAAAAGGCATCACAGCACAACATAGGTATCAGTAGTACCCCTGGGCAGCAGCAACCCTAACCCCATGCACACAGTCACAGAAGTACCCTACCCAGGTAACACATTCTTGTGGGGAACTAGACACGAAAAATGCATCACAGCACAGCATAGGTATTAGTACCCTCGGGTGCAGCAGCAACCCTAACCCCGCGCACACAGACACAGCAGTACCCAACCCAGGTACAGTAGCAATATTAGTAGTAAGCTAGGGAGTGTGCCAGTGTAACTCTAACTGGCGTGTTCCCCACCTGTAATGTGACTATAGGAAACGGGCTCTCAGCAAACCCCTCTATTATCACACGCTGATCTCTCTTTGAAATGCTCTGCTGGCATCGATAAAGTAAGCTTCCTTCCACATAAGGATAAGGTTCATATTCATAGTGACTGCAGGGGACTGTGACTGTATGGGAGTCGGTCAAGGAGATGGTGGGAGAGGAAGGGGTGGAATTCGAAGTTACCCCTTCAATCTGGGCTACAAAGTCCATGTGGCTTATGGTGTTGCGGTGGGTGGGGTGCCTGGAAAAAGAGGGCGGGGAAAAGAGCATGGGGAAGAGGATGGGGAAAGAGAAGGGGAAAAGGGGGGGGGGAGGGGGGGGGGGGGGGAGGAGAGTGATGAAGAGAGGGGAGAAGAGAAAGAGAAAAAATAACATTAGCCTATCTCCCTGGTGCCTATCTCCCTGGTGCAGGACCGATGCACTTCAAGACAAGCATCGAGGGAGATAGGCATCGAGTAATAAAAGCAATTGCTTTATTTGAGGCGCCTCAAAGCTCGTATCACTTAGCAACCAACATCTACCGGCGAGAAGGGGTGGGATGGCTCGCCGAGGATGATACGTCGAATATGCAAATATGATATGACAGATGTAGAATGAAAGATACGATATGATTGTTATGATAGATACTAGGCGTCTAGCCGTCTATAGGTCCCTTTGAGGATGTCGGGGTGGGGGGAGGGGAAGGGGAAGGTAGGGGGAAGTGGGGGGGGAAGGGGAAGGCAGTGGAAGGTGGGGGGGGGAAGGGGAAGGTAGTGGAAGGGAGAGGGGGGAAGAGAGGGAAAGGGAAGGAACAGAAAGGTTGGGGGGGAGGGTAGTGGGGGGAGGGGAAGGAAGGGGAAGGGAGGGAGAGGAGGGGAGGGGAGGGTTGGGGAGGGGAGGGGAGGGGAGGGGAGGGTTGGGGAGGGGAGGGGAGGGAAGGGGAGGGGAGGGGAGGGGAGGGGGAGGGGAGGGAAGGGGAGGGGAGGGAAGGGGAGTGGAAGGGAGCGGGACAGGCGGGATAGGTGACCAATGAGAAGCTCTTCTCAAAAGGGAGAAGAGGTGGGAATGTGTTAAGGGCACTCACCGGTGCACCTTCAGGCAGACATCGACTGATGAGAAAGGATCTGATGGCGATCCGAGGATCACCTCGCAATACGAGCCTGGTGGTGGTGGTGGTACGGAGAAGAGTGGAGAGAGGGAGAGAGAAGTGTAGAAGGAGTGTGATGGAGTGTGAATGAGTGTGACGGATTGAGCTGGGCTGATGGCGACCCGAGGATCACCTCGCAATTTGAGCCTGGCGGTGGCACGGAGAAGAGTGGAGAGAGGGAGAAGAGTAGGAGTGTGACGGGGTGTGAAGGAGTGGGAACAGAGTGAGAGAGAAGAGCAGAAGAGTAGATGATTAAAAGAGTAGAGGGAGTGTGAAGGTTAAACAGCTGGAGGAGGGCTGATGGCGAGGCGACCCGAGGTCAACCTCGCAAAATGAGCCTGACGGGGGTAGGGGGAAGAGTGGAATACAGAGACAAGTGTAGAAGAGTAGAAGGATTGTGACGGTTAGACGGCTTGAGCAGGGCTTATGGCGAGCCGAGGATCACCTGGCAATATGAGCCTGATGGTGAAACGGAGAAAGAGAGTGAAAAGGGTGAAAAAAACACTGGAGTGAAAAGAGTGAAAAAAATGCTGGAGTGAAAAGAGTGAAAAAAACACTGGAGTGAAAAGAGTGAAAAAAACACTGGAGTGAAAAGAGTGAAAAAAACACTGGAGTGAAAAGCGTGAAAAAAAACACTGGAGTGAAAAGAGTGAAGGCTGGACAGCTTGCCCAGGCCTGAGGCGACCCGCCCTTCGGGGTCCAAAAGAAAGGAAACCCATGAGGTGATGAAAAGAGGGAAGCCATAAGATGAAGCCGGGAGGACTTTTGAGATGTCTCAAAAGACGGTATTCTAAGGAAAGGAAACTTATGAAGGTGATGCAAAGAGGAGAGCCATCAGATGAAGCCGTGAGTTTTAAGGGCAAGACTTTATAGCAAGACGAGACTTAACGCCTCACGAAAGTTACGCGAGTGAAAGCTGAAAGAGGAAGCAACGAGGTGAATGGAGAGAGGGAGAGAGGGAGTGGAACGAGAGCAATAGAGCTATTGGGGAATTCTCAAACGTCTCTCGCAGGGGATGGAGAAGAGGGAGCTAGGGACCGGAACGAGAGTAGAGAGCGAGGCGAGAGGAGGCGGGGCGGGGGAACATGATTCACGAAAACAGCTGGGAAGAGATGAGAAGAGATGTCAAAATCCCAATCACTAGACCATTAGGATAAAAGAGCTTATTAAGTAGCGAGTCAGTGCGTCCATAACCTCCCATGCCGACATGCATGTAATCCTTCCTTAAGATCAATCGGGGATCACCAGTGGACCTCTGACACTCCCCCGCACTAGGATGCCCGAAGTGCACACACTGGGATTCGAACCCAAGACCTTCGCTCTGATACCATGTCAAAATCCTAACCACTATATCATTTGAATAAAATGGCTTGTTTGTGTAGCGGGTTAGTGCGCCCATAACCCTCCAAGCCAACATGTCTGTAACTCTTCCCTATGATCAATCGGGAATCACCAATGGACCTCTGACAAAATATGGGAAGATATGGGAAGAGATGGGAAGAGATCGAAAGAGATGGGAAAAGATGGAAAGAGATAGGAAGAGATGGGAAGAGATGGGAAGAGATGGGAAGAGATGGGAAGAGATGGAAAGAGATGGGAAGAGATGGGAAGAGATGGGAAGAGATGGGAAGAGATGGGAAGAGATGGTAAGAGATGGGAAGAGATGGTAAGAGATGGGAAGAGTTGGGAAGAGATGGGAAGAGATGGGAAGAGATGGGAAGAGATGGGAAGAGATGGGAAGAGATGGTAAGAGATGGGAAGAGATGGTAAGAGATGGGAAGAGTTGGGAAGAGATGGGAAGAGATGGGAAGAGATGGGAAGAGATGGGAAGAGATGGGAAGAGATGGGAAAAACAAACCTTCCTCCCAGAGAAATTGCCATCACTTTCCTATTAGTATAGAACTGCTCCCCTGGTGTCGGAAAAGCCCTTGGGAACTCACCGATGACGTCATTGTCGGCAAAATAGATGTTGTCGGGAAGAGGATTCCGTGCAAGAGCAACCGGGAGGAGAGCAGCGAGGAGGACTGCACGCGGGCAGAGATGTACGGTGGACGGGAAAAGAAGGAGAAGAATTTGTGCTTCTGCGTTTCGAAGCGCGCAAAAACTAGAAAGGAAGGAATAAATGCAAAAAAAAACAGAATGCTGTGTTTTTTTTTGTTTTGCGAAAGAAAACATCACCCAGTTTTCCAGAGGAGAACGTACGAGCAAAGGTGACAACGTCGGAAGGTTGACGCCGCGCCATAGCAGCCATGGCTGAAGCTAATGAGAGAAAAAAATCGGCACGATTGCCTCTTTCTTTTCTGACACGCCTCAAAGACCCACGGGGCCGTGACGGGTGGTACTGTGGCCCTCCTTGACCCAAATCCACGCCGCTTTTTGAGACGACTCAAAAAGCCACGGATCCACGACGGGTAGTGCAGGAGCTTTCCTGGAGCGGAAGCTGCGTGGCTGAGTGTCACGTCAGCGTGTAGCGGGCCTGAGACGTCTCAGACAGGTGGTGCTGCGCGGCGGCTGAGTGTCCCGCTGAGCGGGCCTCGCAACGGCGGTCGATATCGTGTCACGTTAGTCACTGATTTTAGCTGGCAGCTAGTAACTCCTTCGTAGCTGGTTTTAGCTAAAAAGACGCACAGATCTGACCGAAAGGAGTCCTTCCCCTTCTAGCTCTCAACAGGGGGCAACGAGGCGACCTTAGAATCGACTCGAAAAAGGCCGGCGCGCAATGAGCAGGATGTATGGCGGCGTAGGTCCGACCTAGAAAGGTCATTCAACCTCCTCCTAAACCCGACGGAAATCTCGGCTGAAGCAACGAGGGCGGGCGCGCGGAGCAGGGGAACATTCGCTGGAAAAACGGCGGCGGCGACGGTCTATCGCTTCTGCTGAGGTGAGCAGAGGAGGGAGATAATTGGTGGAGCGAAACCGCGGTTAGAATGCGCACGAAGAGCAGAGACGCTAGTACCGGCGCACTTGTTGGATCTTCGACAGAGAACGGAAACGCGAAGATCACTTTTCCTCCTCCACAGACACTCGCGGAAACTCGAGAGACTCGAGCTGGGAGCCGAGGGTTTCAGAAAGTCGAGTGTGAAAGAGCGGTTGAACCTATCTAGTATCTGAACGGCAATTGTGCTTCTCACACTCTCCGCCGGTATCTTCAGCGCACGACCGGCGAGTGCACGAGAGGAGAAACCCACCAAAGCTGGCAGAGATCTGTTGTGAAGCGAGTGAGCTGTGGTGGGCGTGGGTGGGAGTGGAATGGGGTGAAGTGGTCTGGACTAGAGTTGAGTGGAGTGGAAGCGGTTTCCTGGTGGTCGGTGCTTCGAACAAGACACGAACTAGGCAGCATTTGTACAGTATACACAACGAACGTGGGTCCCAAACCTTCGTCTGTATGCGGCTTGACAGGCTGGGTAGATTGCGAACCAATAGGATGTTCTTTCTTATCCTGGGCATTCTACATTTTATGGGCAAATTCATGGGTTCTGGTGGGCTGAATGGGATGATAAACGTTCTGGAATACAGTTCGACACATTGGTTGAATAAAGAGGGCGGTTTGGGAGACTCGGCAGCATATAAGGGCAGGTGTGGACCAATGGTTGAGGTTCGAGGATGGAGGGAATCGAGGTTGACTTTTCGCGGTACTGTTTGGAAGAGGGTGGGTGGCTGAACGGCGTCCAGTGGGTGCAGCGGTGGGAGTGGAAGTGTGAAGCAGCGTGAACGCCGGCAACGCAAGCAGTGCAGCCTGAACTACAGTAGTTCGCGAAGCACCAGCACCGCGACGCTCTCCAAATGTTCGCGCAGTTCCCGTTGCTTTCCTCGCTCAGATTGTGTTACTTTGTATCCGATAGTGCAATGTATATTCTCCAAGAGAAACTTTACGATTTGTTTCCTTATCTCGTGTTGAATCCCTCAACCTGCAAGGAAAATTCATTTTCCTTACTTCGCGCCCCTGCTTACCGCGTACAAGACCATTCCCGCCATTGGCACCCAAACAGTGAAACGTTACCCGCTCGCGACACTCGCCTCGACTACGACTCCCGCCACTGTTTACGACGCGACCCAACCTCACGATTCGGTTGGTAACCCGCGCTCCGGACCTCCGCCTCGACATATCCCAACCTCGGTGCTAGGCCCGTAGCGCACCCCAAATCCTCGCGTTACCGTTACCACTCTAGTTCGATATATATTATTCGCGCATGCCTTCGCTCATTGTATTGTTTTGCTTCGATAGTGCAATGCTCGCTCGCTCACTCAATTGCACTCGTAACACTTGGTATTCAGAGCCTACGATCTCCTCTCGGACCGCACCCACACCTTCGCTTCCCCACTATCTCAATTTTGGGGGGGATAGATGTCTCTCAGCGAACAAGCACCGCCGCTCGAAGTGCTCTCTCGTAAGCACGCACAGCCACGATAGAGGCTCTCGCTGAGCTTGCCCGACACCCCCGCCGGGGCCGAAATTAATCTCGCGACATTGACGCTGGAGCAGCTCGACCGTCTCGTGCGCCAACTCGAATATTCGGCGCTCGAAATTGCGACACTCACTGCGGAACGCGACTCCGCTCTCCAGCAATCAACGGTGAATGCACCAGCACCAACACATGGACATGCAAATGCACATGCACAATCAGAGGAGCCGATAGTCATCTCATCAGGCACACCGACACAGAACGACGACGTGGGACAACGCTCAGGTGTAGCCAGTGACGGCGCCGCTCACTCAATGCCTGGCATGGAGAGGAACAGGGCCGCAACAGGCACACAAGGGCCTCGCGAAGTCCGCCGGCACGTGGAGTTCGCCGCAACGAGTGGCAACAACGACATCATGGCGCCAATGCCACTCAAGCCGCAGCGCCCGCCCTGCTTCGATCCTAGCCAACGTGGAGGTCCGACAGTTCAATCGTTGGTTTTAACGATGAACGTTTTCTTCGACGTGAATTACGTCGAGTCAGACGCAGCGAAGATTCGCTACGCAGTTTCGTTGCTGAGGGGCCCCGCCATGGACTGGTGGCGAGTCATCGTGACGTCGCCACGCGCCTATGAGCCGCCGTCACAAGAGGGAGGGCCTTCGGGTACAGCCGTCACATGGAGTTCTTTCTGCGAAACCGCCCAGTACAGCACACAGGATGCGTGGTGCACAGGGCTTCGGGCGCGCTTCGAGCCGATTGAGGCTTCTATTTCAGCGCGTCAGAGACAGCGTACTTGGCGACAACTCGGGTCGGTCCAAGACTGTTAAGGAACAGCAGGAAGTTAGAAATGAAAAGAGGAAAGAGGGGGTTTCACTAGCAAGCAGTTGAGTACATATAGGAAACCCTAAATTGGGCTGTACTCACTATTGAGTACCCCACTGCAGGCTAGACAAAACATAATATTCTGACACACCCCCATAGCCAAAGTGGGGTGTAATCAGCACAACAAGCAAAGCAAAACAAGCTCAGGGTGGATCACAATGTCACCACACATTCTGAGCACAAGTACAAGAAGTAGCAGTTTATAGTGCACAAATATAAGCAAAGCTAGAGGCAGTCACAGATGGTAAGTGAGGAGGAGGAGGGACTGTGAGAGGAGAAGAGATAGGAGACGACAGGTAAAGCTGCAGACACACGGGCAACAGGAGCGGCGCGCACTGTGGCTACCGGAGATTGTAGCCTCCGAACTACTGGAGTAACTGGCTCCGCGACTAACTCTGAGCTGCAGGAGCAACGGACCCACGGGCGACTGGCGCAGCAGGCTCGCTGGGCTACCGGAGATTGTAGCCTCCGGACTACTGGCGCTGCTGGCGACACGACAGCTGCCTCCGCCCAACATCCTCTAACTGTCTCACCCCCCTTTCACACACCCCCTGCTGCACCTCTAGCACTACTCATACTCCACCCCCTAGCACCACTCCATCGGCTCCCACACACCCACCCCCCTCAGCGGCAGCTATAGCAGTGGGAGACGGAGGAGGAGGAGGAGTAGGGGAGACCACTGACATCCGGCACCCCCACACTCGCCACCCCCAAACCCCAACACAGGGCAGGGCAGCAGCAGGGGCGGCAGCTGGGCAGGGCCGCGACGAAGACGGGAGGGGCGTTGGCGCCCCCCGCCCCCCCCCCCCCCCCCCCCCCCCCCCCCCCCCTCTGGCGCCGCGACGGGCGACGGGAAAAGGCGGGGGTGCAGGGTCGGGGCAGGTCCGAGACAGGACCGGGACAGGGTCGGGGCCGGGGCAGGTCCGGGACGGGGCCGCAACGGGGCCAGGGAAGGGTCGGGGCCGGGACAGGGTCGGGGCCGGGACAGGATCGGGGCCGGGGCAGGTCCGGGACGGGGCCGCAACGGGTCCAGGGAAGGGTCGGGTCCGGGGCCGGGACAGGGTCGGGGCCGGGACAGGTCCGGGACGGGGCCGCGACGGGGCCGAGGCAGGGCCGGGACAGGGTCGGGGCCGGGGCAGGTCCGGGACGGGGCCGCGACGGGGCCGGGGCAGGTCCGGGACGGGGCCGCGACGGGGCCGGGGCAGGTCCGGGACGGGGCAGGGCTGGGACGACGACGGGAGGGGCCGACGCGCGCCCCCCCCCCTGGGCGCCGCGACGGGCGACAGGAATTGGGGCCGTGCGGGCCCCCCCGGGCGACGAAACCGCCGTGCGCCCCGGGGCGCGCGACGGGCAGGGCACCGCCGCGCGCCACGGGGCGCACGACGGGCAGAGAAGGGCGTCGCGCGGCCCCCAGGGCGGCGCGACGGTCAGAAAACCGCCGCGCGCCTCGAGCGCGCGGCGGGAAGAAAATTGGCCGCGCGCCATGGGCGCGCAGCTGACAGAAAGACAGTGCGCGCCCGAGGCGCGCGATAGGCAGGACAGCAGGAGCAGCAGCGGAAGTATTGGGTGGGCCCATACACAGGATCGACCCGAGGGGGTCGACCTGCTCTGATTCCATGTTAAGGAACAGCAGGAAGTTAGAGATGAAAAGAGGAAAGAGGGGGTTTCACTAGCAAGCAGTTGAGTACATATAGGAAACCCTAAATTGGGCTGTACTCACTATCGAGTACCCCACTGCAGGCTAGACAAAACATAACATTCTGACAAAGACTACACGAGCGGTTTTCTCACATTATGCAAGCAAGTCGGCTACATGCACGAAGCGGAGCGGGTGGACCGTTACATCAGAGGGCTAAAGCCAGACATCCCGCACGAAATCATGTTACTCGGGCTCCCGAACTTCAACGAGATCCTCGCGCTCGCCGAGAAGATCGATATCATATGCCGACCGAGAATGGGCTTCTAC